AGAAGTCATAAAACTCATGAAATGCAAAAAGTTGGAATACATTGGCCACGGAATGAGAAACAATATATATTATTTCATCTGATATGAAATGCAGGAGGGAAAAGAATGTATTGACTGAAGAAGCTTGGAGAATGGTTTGGATGCAATACAATGTTATTGTCTAGAAATGCTGCATCTGAAAGGAGTATAGCCATGAGGATATCCAACTTTTGACAGAAGAGAAGGACAAGAAGAAGACAAGGGGGTCTTTAGCATTCAGGAAAATGAGAACATATTAATTGTGACCAACGGAAGAATGTGGTAAGAAGGTGCTCACGTTACCAGGATGTGAAAGCATGGAAGCAGATTAGCAGAAGGTAGAAAGCTGGTTTCTAAGTTCTGTTCTAAAAAACAAACAGACATTCTCAAAGTGTGGCTGAAGTAAAAAGAGCTAGTCCCATAGTACATGAATTTTAGTCGAACAGACAGATCAAAGATAGATTGTAGTCTTGGACATGCTTCTAAAAGCAACTTCACTGTAACAGCAAGTGTTTGTTCCTCAGAGAACTACTTCTCATCTCAGCCATCATTATAAATCTCCAACCTTCGAGGAACTTTTCTTGAAGGAAAGTCTTTGAGAATACATAAATCTCCAACCCTTCATTGGTATCTAGCAAAAGTGCAAAACTGGCGCTCACAAGATGATGACAGAGATCCTACATATGAAGTGGTTCGCTATGACCTGAGTAGGAGTCGCTCACAGCCACTCTATTGAGCCAGTTCCAGCAATATTCCAATGCCAACTGTACAGTGAACTCCAAACTTAAACAGTCTATTTTTAAATCTCTCTTTCTCTCTTTCAAGCAAGACACAGCTACAACTCTAGGACTGAGTGAGGAGAAGGTCTTTTAGGAGGATTGGACACAAGCTCAGCTGATGGTGCAGGCCATGAAATTTGAAACCACAATAACATCCATCCATTGTTCTCATCATCCAGCCATACAAAATTTAACTGACCCACCAGTCAGTCAGAAGACAATATGGCAAGCAACGTATCAGAGGGTTTTGTGTCAGAGATTCCACACAAGAATTATGTCTCATGATGCATTTGTTAAATCCTTAGAAATATCAAAGCCTGCCTGGACAGCATGTGGAAATTGTTTTCTTTTGACTGAGGTAAATATCTGAACAAGTCTGTCCTTGTGGTATCAGAGGGAATGTTATATGTAGCAGGTTAAAAGTAGGTGCTTGGAATCTGTTGGTTTTCAGACCTGGGGAGGTGAAGGAGCATAGATACTGTTTCACCAAGACAAATATTATTCATGAGGTATGTAACAAAGCCAGCAGAGTTCATCCTACCATTAGGCTGACTATGGTGACAAATACTGGGAGGAAGGGAGCTGCAGCAAGAAGATGGGGAAAGGCAGGGCTTCATGTCATAAGCTAGCCTGCTTCCTCCAGAGATAATGGTGGATGCCATTCTACCACCACTTCTTTGGATGAGCTGTCAAGTCACATCCAACTTATGGTGCTCCTCATCGAGTTTTATCTCATGTACCTTGAAAACCCTACCAGAGTTGCCAGAAGTCAGATGTGACTTGGCATCATATATTCCATCACTAATGTTAGGAACGTAGAAATCTGCCTTATGCCAAGTCAGAACCTTGATCTATTTGGCCCAGAATCACTTATCCTCACCAACAGCAGTTCTCCAGCATCTCAGGTAGGGCTTCTTCTGGCCATTTCTAGGGCTACTGATACTGAACTGCGACTGCATGCATGCAAACCAGGTGTCATTGAGCTATGGCCCCCGCCCACAGCCAACCTGGTCACTTCTGAATGTGAAACAGGAGAATACACTCTCTTGTTCTTTGCTTCAGGGAGGAAAATGTCTTCGGCTGACTCTGAGAGCCAAACTCTCAGTGGCAAGTCACCTTCTAAAGGCCTGGTGGACAACCCCTAGCTGGATTTTCTCCAAATTTGGTGTCTTTTCTTAATCAGATTTTTACTTATTCCTTCTTACAAATTAATTTTTTGGGACATATTGGTATGTCCAGGGAGCCAAAGAAATGATTTTGGTTTACCAGATACTAGACACACATTGGGACTTTATGAAGGTGGTGCTTAAGGACAGAAGTCCCTCATGTTGGAACTATTGCCAGTCTGCAAGGACGACTCTTGGCTGGGCACACATATTCTTCTACATTGTTGTTTTAAACAACAGTGGTGCAGCCCACAGCCCTCATTAATTTCACGAAGGCCTTATGGGTTTACTGTGCTTCCCAAAAAGAGGAACAGAAAGTTATCACGTTTTTGCGTTTGAAAAATCTTGGGTACCAAATGACTCTGACATAATATCTCATTAAATTCTTCTCCCAGACATGTCCCTCACTTTCTTAGTCTCCTTTCTCACAACTATACTGTTCCTTCATGTGCTTCTCTATCTTCAGTCTCGTGAAACACCAGTGGGCATGATGGGTGATGCACATTCACTTATTTGTCTGCCCTGGATAATACACAGTTGCATCTTTGATGATATTTCACCCAGTGGTTCCAGGGAAGGAATTTTATGTGTGGGTAATTTTTCAACAGCTCAAGTTATCTGTTCACTGTATCTCCTAAACTACTCTTCCCTTTTGCCTCTGCTGGTACACTGAAGTCATGCTTGTTTTGAACATTCTCTTGATATGACACAAACTAGCCTAGTACATACAACCTTTCCCAGTTTAGATGATGATCATCATCATCATCTTCAAATTGCAGAGCTGGAAGGGATCATCAAAGTCCAGCCCCTGTCAAGGAAGCACAGTGGGGGACTGAACTCCCAACCACTGGCTCCACAGCCAGAGACCTAAACCGCTGAGCTATCCAGTGTATTGAACATGTAGCCTACATAATATACATTATTATAGATACATTAATCTCCAAGGAGCCAGCTGCTACATATAGAATACTACTGGGTATTAAAAAGTCTAGTTTTCAAGATTTTTCTGACAATACTGCCTTTTCTGGCTGTTGGTGGAAACAAAGACATTTCTTCCCTGTAGGAGACAAATTTGTGGCAAAGCTCAAAGACCAACTGCTGGAGTACATTCAAGATTCAGTTTCTGAAAAACAGAAATACTAACAGCATTTTTAACGGATATGGTTTTATACAGCAAAATAACTAAAGATATGGGTACCTCTGGACAATAAATAGTTGCCAACTAAATATAGGGGTTGAATGCTTCCTGCCTTCTTTATGTGGCTTCCATGCCTCCTGCCCATGTTGATTGTCGATTCTAGATCACCATTCATGTTTAGCAACATTAGGCATGGAGGATTAAGAAAAGTCATCACTGAGCAATGTTCAATTATTTTCTGCTTTAGGGGCTCCACCATTTTCCTATCCTTACGTCTCTTTATTCCTCCATTTCCATCTCTCTTCTTACTTCCCCCATGAAGTAAGATGTAAGTAACAACATGTCTCATGTTGTTCCCACACTTGTTGTGACAAACCCTTAACTCCACTATCGTTGCTGGAGTTGCAGAAAAGGGAAAAAAATCATTCCTTCAATCATCCCCAGTCCTCGTCTGACATGGCGACATAGTAGCTAATTGCTACTTTTAAAGGGAGAAAATGTCTATTTACGTTGTTCTGTCTTCTCATTTACAGCCACTTCTGTGAGCTACTAAATGCTTACTCCAAGCAAAACACTCAGATAGGAAACATACCAAGCAACAGTAATTGAACCCTGGAGGAAAGGAAGAAAGAAAGAAAGGAGCTACAGCACGAACATTAGGAGTCCTTGGTTGCTTGCTAATGCCACAGGGGTGACTGGGTTATGGAAGATCTGTCCTTGTTTTCTCACAGCTTTTCTGAAAATGATGGAAGCTTAAATGTATGGGGTATGATGATCAAGGAAGTAGCATGCTACTATTTAAGTCACTACCATAGTTTCCTTCACTACCATAGTTGTTTCAGGAAACTGGATGAGTAGCCTGGGGCCTAACTATAGGTGCGTTTATATTACATAATTACAACAATTTGATTCCACTTTAACTGTAATGGTTCCATCCTGTGGAATCATGGGTTTTGTAGTTTGGTGGTAATGTACAGTACTTGCCATTCTCTGAGAGAGAGGTCTAGAGTATCCCCCTGAATAACAGCAGATAATAACTATCTCACCAGTCTGCAAATCCCAGCATTCCACAAAATTTAGCCATGGCAGTTACGGTGGCATCACAGCACCATAAATTGTGTAGTGTTATCGTATTTTTCCATGTATAAGCCACCCTCACAACCACTGGCTCCACAGCCAGAGACCAAGAAATCTAAGTGGGGCTTAGCAAGTGGTGGGGAAAGTAGGGATCAAAGCCCTGCAGGAACAATTTGTTCCCTGCTTTCCCCTCCACTTATTTTTGTTCTCTCCTCAGCTTACTTCTGTGTATAAGGCAACCCTCAATTTTTAGTTTAAAGATTTTAGACAAAAGTATAGTCTTATACACGGAAAAATATGGTATGTATGTTACATCTAAGGAATTCTCTTCTAATGAAGGGTTAAATATTGATTATGTGTGTTTGTCACTCCTCCCGTATTTTGCAAATTAGCTTGCTTTGTGTTTTTTTTTTAATGTTGGTTTTCAAGCACGAGCACATTGTTCATTTGCAATCTCCCAAACATGAAAGTCTGCCAGAAACTTCATATGAGGTACCCATATCTTTAGAACATTAATGTGATTTTACTGCTAGTGATGGTTACCGGTAGCTTGGCCCATGGAATTCCTCCTTCAGCATTTTAGTTGTAAGCTTAATTTACATCAGGAATTCCATCATAAGGGAATTGTGAGGATTAAAAACCATGCTGAAATTGTCAAATTCAGCCACCATATGTCTTAAAGTCATCTAAAGTGATTTGGCAGTGGTGCCTGTTTTGAACCTCACTGAAGAATCAACAGAACATTGTTACAACTATTAACTATGTCTTCTCCAAAGGCAGATGCCAAAATGCAGAGGGGTACAGACTTTGCTGGTCACCTACCTGCCATGTGGGATCAGCATGCCGGAAATAGCAGAAATTATCTGTAATCCACTTGTAGATGTCTGAGAGGGTGATTTTGGTTTTCTTGCTGGCTTCCATAGCCATACAAATAAGTGTGGCATAGGAATAAGGAGGCTTGACGTGGGGATTTGTCTTGTAATCTATGTCTTCCAGGGGTTGGCCTTGCAGATGTGCAGTCCTGGATGTAGAAGAGGAGATGGGCTTGCCTGGCGTATGGGGCATCCCCATACAAGCTGGATCCCCAGCCAGGGGGGAGCAGGGCGCAGCAGAGCCAGGAATTTTGTGATAACCATGGGGATCTGTACTGGATGGAGAAGAAGATGACTTGCCCATGTTGGCATTGATTATGGAGAATTCTTGAAGCCACTGCAAGCTGGTCAAACTGTCATCCAGGTTGCCCGAATCCGCCATGCTGCTTTCCTGGCCTTTCTCTTCTTCTGACTGTACGTTCAGCCAATTGTCACTCATGTCAGTGGGAGCCAAAATTGGCAAGTCCAACATTCAGGAATGGTGGGGAAGCAGAAAAAGGGTGGAAGGGGGAGGACAAGGGGTGACAATCCTGCAACAATAACATGAAGATATTCAAAGCCCCAACAACTGTGCAGTTCGCAAACAAACACTTGAGCAGGTTGTTTTCCAGGCAAACACTAAAAATACTGGAGCCAAATATATCCTTGATGGAACCCCAGGGACTGAGTCATGCCTGGGTGTAGGAGCCCCTTCTCAAATCCCTCTCCTTGATTAGCCTGCTTTGTATAGGCCACAGCAGCTGGCAAGATGGGTGGAATTCACCCAAGTGCCTTTTCCCTTTTGTGGCAAGATTTTCCTCAAAATTGCCAAGAAACTAAGTAGCTTTGTTCCTATTGGAACACCATTAAAATCCAGACAGAAACATGCAGTCAGAATGAATACTGGTACAGTACCTCCTTCTGGGTAGTAACTGTTTATTCAGTTTCATAAATGTTAGGATTTACAAAGCTGACACCCTTTAACTTTCACTATGTTACACAGAGTGATATGAAACAGCATTACATTTTGTCAGTTTTTTACTTGATGTACTCTGATATTGCTTCTTTCATAGGAATGTGAATATTTCAGACTGTGATTCCATATATTCTTACTTACCTGAGAGAACCCCACTGAGCTTACTAAGACTTACTTCAGAGCAGATATGTATCAGATTGAGCTGTAAAGAAGACTAGATATTTTAAAGGAATGTCTCTCTTTTTCTTTTCTTTTTTCTTTTTTTTTCTTTTTTTTTTTCTTTTTTCTTTTTTGGCACAAAACGCATAGGTAGAAGATACTTAACATCTTTCCAGAATGCTTACTTTCCAAAGCTGCTCTGGAGACGTATTCAGCAAAAATGGAAAGTCTGCCTCCAGTAACTTAATCCACAATAGACACCCAATGTTATATCATACATGATGAGATATAAATTTCACTGATTTCAAATGAATTGCATCTAACACGTTAAACACGAGGATGGCTCCCATTTCTGCTAGACTAGCTTAAAGCTCATCTAGGTAGGTTCAGGTGGCTTGCAGATTAGGTTGTAAAATTATACACAGAAAGCTTTAGACATACTATTGACAACTGCAGTATGTATTTCTGTATTTGTATGCAGTATAAATAAATGTATGTGGACAATCAATAGAAGATAATGGCTGCATTATCCTTTACAATTAGCCTGAAATGAAGGTTCCAATGTACTAGGGAAAAAAAGGTTTGTATCAGCCCTCTTCATATTAATAATAACAATTGTGTGCTGTCAAGTCAATTTTGAGTTATTGACTATTTGGGGGGTTTTCTAGGTAGAGACTTACTCAAAAGACAATTACCATTCCTTTTGTCTGGGGGCATCCTGGGACTGTGCAGCTCACCCAAGGCCACACAGGCTGGCTTTTCTGGGATGCACAGAGGAGAATTGAATCCCCAACCCCCAGATACTTAACTCACAGAGCTATTCAGTCACCGTCTTCATGTTAGATACCTAAACTAAAATTAATCTAACTACGAGCCCTCCCTCTTTCCCATTGAGCAAAAAAAATGGTTAAATATGTTGATTGATTCATGGAACAAGCCCTGCCTGAAGGTTTGTAGTAATAATACCCTTTGAATTGCAGAGCTGGAAGGGACACTCTGGATCATCAAGCCCAGCCCCTCTCAAGGAGTCCCAGTGGGGGGACTCAAACTCTCAACCTCTAATTGAGAGTCAAACACCTAAGCCCAGGAGCTATCATTTGATGCCACAACTGTGGTGGTGGTGATGGCGGCGGGGAAACAGTCTTCCTAACATAATGATGTAGAAATAAAGCAACCATCTTTTCATTTAACCTAAGAAATAAATAGTGCGGTATCCCTTACCTTGATCCTAGGGAGAAATCCCACTGCTGCCAAATGTTTACAGCTAAACGGGAACTGCTCTGTGGGGTGAAACAGGAGGATGAGGAGGAAGAGGAGGGGGGAAAAAAGAAAAGGTGAGTTTCTACAGTGGTCCCGTTGGAAGAATTATTACGCCCTTCGCTGCCAGAGCTCTTTTATTCCACAGCCGCTGTGATTTGTAAGCAACAGAATGACTGTCCATAAGTAGCTGCTCCGAAAGGCTTCTCCGGGTGCCATGGAGACGCTCCGCCTCTATAAACAGCTTCTGCTCTTTCCATTGGTCGCTTCGTCTCCATGGTGAGCGCAATCGCTTGGCAGTTTTTTTCTGTCTCCCTCCTCGTTCTCTCTCCCGCCCCCCGCCCCCCTTCGTCAGTGGGCATCTTCGCACAAACTTCGCTTTGTCCCCCCACCTCGCCATCTCCCCCCCCCCAGCCACACACAACTTCCTTCTTTGGCCACCAGTTCAGTTTTAATTAGAGATGAAGGCGCGGGTGGGTGGGGGGAACCTGACGAAAACTCAGGACGGTACGGGCTCTCCGACACACCTCCTCCTCTTGCCCAGAAGCCTATTAAACACACACACACACACACACCCACACCCAAATCCTGGATCACGGCAAGGTGGAGGACTGGTGGGGTGAGGGGGCGCGGGTGCCTCCTGCGACACCTGCCTTTGAAGGAGGCTGACGGGGCGGCCGTTGCTGCTGCTCGTGATGGCGATGGGGTGTGGGGTGGGAGCTCTGAGGCATTGTTACTCTGAGTTTTATTATGAGAAATTAAAAACCCCTTGAAGCAGCTCCCCGAGGCTTATTACTCTTCGTGAGGCGATAGGAATGGGGGGGGGTGGCCGAGGGAAGAGACCCCCTCGGCCAGGAACGAACAACGCAGCCACTAGAAAGATCCATGCCTGGAAAGAATAAGGGTCTTTGCACACACACAAACACACACACGCACGCACACGCACACAAACCTTCTTTTAACTCGCCGGGCTTGGCCCAACTCACAGGCGCTGGGCACCCTTCGCCTTCTTCCTAGCCCGCCCCCCGCTTAATTAAATAAAACTCCACCAGACAAAATTACCTCAGCTTTGAAGTTGTACTGTTCGCAGGAAAACGCTCCAGCTGGTCATCACAGGAGGAGGAGGAGGAGGAGGAGGAATGGGCATTCATGTGCAAAGGTCTTGGCTCGTCTTGAACCTTTGCTATGGCTAATTTAATCGTTAGCCTTTCATGCTGCTTAAGAATAGGGGAGAGGGTCCCCAGCTGACCCCCTGCTTTAATTCCAGGGCGGTAAAATGGCGTTTGCGCCAAAGAGGGGGGGGCAGATGAGTACAAACCCGGAGCCCGTCTTCCTACCTGCTAGGCTGGTGTCTGGAGCTGCCCGCCTCTGACCTTTGGGTAACCCGAGGTAACCTGATCAAGGGGTGGCAGAAGGTGGGGAGGGGGACAGCAAACTGCTGGGGCAGAAAGCTTGTTAGATCTTTCTCCCCTTTTAATTAAGAGACTATAACCGCAGCCCTATATAATAGGCTCCCATCCATCCACCCCTCCTTATTCTCTCTCTCTCAATGATTGAAAAGGGTATTAAGTATTTATTACATTTTTATCCTGCCCTTCCTGGAAAGACATCAGGGCAGCATATGTGGCTCCCTACCTGTTTCACCCATAAGAAGGCTGTGAGGTATGTATAGTTAAAAAAAAACACATTTAGGTGGCTCAAGGGAAGCTTATGCCTAAGCACCTGTTTGTTTATTTATTTACAAGATTTTTTTTAAGCCACACCACTACCAATGGTCTCTGAGCAGCATACAACAATATTAAAACTTTTTAAAACGTTAAAACCATTAGAAATAGGCAATATTATAATACCCTATATTAAAAACAGTTATTAAAACATTAATATCAATAAATCCTGCTGCTCATATGGCCAGCTTAAGAATACTATTTAACTTATGGCTATAAACAGAAGTTCCAGGGATCTTCCCACTATATCTTGTCGGCAGGTCCTTCCTTCACCTGCCTGTCTCTCGCTCTCTCTCTGTTATACATGCACGCACACACACACACACAAACACACACACACACCAAATCAGTTTCCACACCAGACATCAGACACAGCTTTACACATGGAAAACTGGCCTTACCTTTCCCCAGTTTGCTGATGCTCTGAGGGGTATCTTATTGTACAGAGTTTATTCTGCACTGCTTTGCTGTGGTGACATCATAACACCTGGCTGGTAGCGTCCCAAAGTCCCTGTTAATCAGTCACCTTCTCTACACTTCAGAAATAGCTTTTAAAAACTCCCTGCTCTAGGATAGGAGACAAGAAGAAATACACAGCAAGAATCTGTGTAGTGGGGGGGGGGAGAACATGGGTTTTTTTACATAACAACCCTCTCAAAACCCTGTTTTGGTTTCAACCACATCGCATAGGCTGCTGCTGCTTCACTGCTGTTCTGAACGGGGGACCCATGTATGATGAGTAAAGCATGGGAAGACCCAAGCTGACATGTTCACCCAGCCACAAAGCTTATTATGGGGGGACCCCCCCCCCATCAGTCCTCAGTTCTCAGGAGAACTTTCCTCACCAGATTGCTGTAAGGTAAAATGGGGCTGAGGAGAGGAGCACTGCCTTGAACTTAATCAACATAAATGTCAAGAATAAATACCAATGTAATAAATAAGTATAATGGCGAGAGCTTCCCATAAGTATTGCTTCAACACGGAGAGAAAGAGAGTTCACGTCCTGCACTCAGTTATCTTCTCTCTGGTACATCTGACATTTACATGTCACTGACTTCACAAAAGCTTCAGACAATGCTTCTCTTAAGGCAGTTTACCCACTTTGGAGCCAGGCCCGGAAAGAACAGCAGGGGTTTGTGGCACAGCCAACGGCTCACACTTACACAGCGGTGTGGAACGGGCACGAAAGAGTGCTTTCGATAGTTTGCACTCCTGCACTGCCAGTCCTGGAATGGAAATCATGTTGGCACTGTTCCTTTTCTAATAATTTTAAAGCCCATTGTATCCACCCCAACACCACCAGTGCCACAGTTAGAAATGGCCCTGTTCCTTAGCAAATGTTCAAGGGTTTAGAATTACAAACTGCAAAACTGAAACATTTCTCTCCTTAGCAAAGCATTAACAAGGTGCTGCCTTATTTGTCAACAGATTAGGGGTTACACATGGTGAGTATTCTTTCATTAGCAGTAGTGTGTAAAGAAATGGATAAGGTGCTGTTGGGATTTGAAGGGAAGACAGAATAATTTATTAACTCAAATTTGCACAAAGAAGCTCACTGAATAATCTATGTAAACTACCAAAGGAATAATTGTTGTACAACTTCCATTACTAGCTAGGCTCTTAAGAGTAGGGCATGAGAGAGAAACTGGCAACAGGTGGCCTGTTTGACACCAAAGCACTTCAAACCACAGAAGGGTCTGTGTGGCTTCCCCAAATACTGTTGGACTCAATTTCCCATCAGTCCTTGACAGTGTAGTCGGTGTAGCCAGAAGAAAAATGGGCTCTCAGGTTTTTATCCCAACATTCTGTCCTCATGGCACAGCTGGGCCGCTGTCCAGAACTCTCACCAAGCATTGTATGACTCATGGATGAGAAATGCACATCCCTCCAGGTGTTTATACACTATTATTCCTATTATCGCTTCTTGCTGCTGAATGAGGCTATCTCAGGCTGATGGGAACTGGTGTCCAAAATCCTCTGGAGGGCTACAGATTCCCAGTCCTGTTATGGAAAAATAAAATATCGATCTTGGCCAACTTGGTGCCTTTCAGAGACATTGGACTGCAGTCCCCATCATGGTCAGCACGTATGGGCACTGTCTCTGTTTGACTCAGAATGTTGAGTGGAAGCCCAGCCCATCTCTACGCCTCTCAGCTGAAGAAGGCTGCCATATGCCTCAGTGTGGTATAGCAGACAGTAGTGTTGGATTGCAAGGAGGGAAAATCTATCTCCAGATCTGCACTGAGCCATGAAACTGACTGGATGACTTCAGGCCAGTTGCTGTCTCTCAACCTAACTTATCTTGTAGGGTTGTTGTGAGTGCAAACTGCAGAGAAGGAAAGTCATGGTTACTGTCTTGAGCTCATAGGAGGATTAGATTAGATTAGGCATCCTTCAGTCTCAAGAGACTATGGTAACATGCTCTTTATGGAGGACTTGGAACAGCATCTAGTGTGGCTGAGAAGGCCAATTCGAGAGTGACAATCCCTTCCACACTGAAGACAAATGCAATCTGGCCCCTGTCCAGCTCCCTGATTTTGCTGCTTTTGTGACTGCCTCTTTGCCTCAGCCTGCTGAACAAGGGTCTCTTCAAACTGGGAGAGGCTGTGCTGCACCGCCTGCCTCCAGGCTGAACACTCAGATGTCAGGGTTTCCCATCTGTTGAGGTCCATTCCTAAGGCCTTCATGGGAGGAAAGGCAGATTAAAAATGCAACACAATGCTTATCTTGGAAGCAAGTGGTCTGTTTGCATCTGGCTCCTTATTTTCCTAGGGTCCAGTGCGAGTTTTTGTGAGGATGCGAAAGAACACTAGCAAAAATCCTTCTTCCATCTCAGCCCTTCCTGAAATCATTCTCATCTGCAGACCAGGATAAAGCTCCTGCGTGAAGCTGGGCGTCATCTTACTGAACAGGAGCATTCCTAGGGACTGGGGAGCTGTAGAACCCTCATCCCCCTTATTTATAACTGCAAGCTCAGCTGACCGATGCTTACAACGAATGGGGGCATCATGCAGCAGGAAAGGATTAGGTTGGAAAGTTGGTGCTAAAGACTTAAAGGTCAGAACCCTTCTGAGTTTCTGCAGAGTGGAAGGTCCCAGCAGCATAGAAACATGGGTTCGTTCTTCTTCTGCAGGCACTGCCAATGTGTAAGCAGTGACCTCCATGAAATAAAACCTTCCTTCCACTTGCATCTGGATTCTTCTTCGTTCTCTGCATTTCAGCAAATTGTCCAGATTATTAGGGGCATCTTATTGGCTTATTTTTGCAGCAAAGAACCCAGCTCCCTTTGCAAGCCCACCCCAGGCCCCCCTTCCTCTTCAAATCCTTCCTCCCAAACCCACCCCCAGGGCTCCTGAAAGGGTCTTCTGACCTTGCACATCCATTGACAACGATGCCAAAGGCTATGGCCTCCCACCAGTATTTTTGGCTATCTGTTACCTTGGCTCTACTTTGAACATGAGAATGATTTCCCTTTCCACCAGAGGGCAACCAAGACATTGCCTTGAGGCTGACTGTGACCTGCAGTCACCCCCAGCTGAAGTGCAGTGTGTGGGGCTAAAATGTGAAGAGTGTGTGCATGTTAACAAATTTATCATACATGTTTGTAAGCTTAGAGCATGAGTTTTCCTACATTACAGTATCTTCCCAGTTACAAGTACCAGAGGAAGAGAGGAGGGAGACATACAGTGTAAACGTTGTGGTGGGTTTTTCGGGCTCTTTGGCCGTGTTCTGAAGGTTGTTCTTCCTGATGTTTCGCCAGTCTCTGTGGCCGGCTGGCGAAATGTCAGGAAGAACCACCTTCAGAACAGGGCCAAAGAGCCCGAAAAACCCACAACAAGAATTAGATTCCGGCCATGAAAGCCTTTGCGAATACATACAATATAAAATTGATGAACTTGTCAGGATCATTAAAAATGGGGTGAAACTTTATTGCATAAAAATATCAAACACAAGAGTTTTTAAAAATAGCATCCATGGTTTTTGAATAATGGAGTCCCAGCCTTTACAGATGAGGAAGACAAATGACAGGCCATCGGTGGCCCTGCTTCTGCAACTCATCCTTTTAACTGTTTCCATATCCATGTAGCATGCTACTGTGAAAGATATTTATAAGAAGAGCTGGGCAATCAATGCTTTGCAGGGGGCATACCTCCTCTCTATTATGCTGAATGCAGATATTTCAATAAAATCATACATAACACACAGTTTCCTAGGAGGAATTGGGAGGGATGTTTTTGATTGAGGCATTCTTTGGTAGTGATCAGAGCCTTCTTTCTAGAACACCCTGGCAGTAACTTGTGTTTTATGATTATTTTACTATACTGTTTCAGGAATCAGTATGGTGTAGTTGATAGAATGTTGGCCTAGGGCTGAAGAGAAACTTGGGTTCAAATCCCCAGTTGTTTCAGGAATCAGTATGGTGTAGTTGATATAATGTTGGCCTAGGGCTGAAGAGAAACATGGGTTCAAATCCCCAGTCAGCCACAGAAACTCTGGGGTGCTAATGGTAAACCACTCCTTGATCATCTTATATCACAGCAACCAGTGTGCTGTTTTGCTGAGGGCAGGGTGATCTGGTTTCAGAACAAGTGGTTTTTAATTGTAACATGCTTTGTGAATAACTATGTGTGTAAGCAATTAATGTAGATACGTGGCAGAATGTTGCTCAGAATATTCTTTCTAACTACTATAAGGCTTGAAAATAAAATAAAAAGTGTATAACCCTAAGTTCAAAACAGCAACCAGTGTGCTGTTTTGCTGAGGGCAGGGTGATCTGGTTTCAGAACAAGTGGTTTTTAATTGTAACATGCTTTGTGAATAACTATGTGTGTAAGCAATTAATGTAGATACGTGGCAGAATGTTGCTCAGAATATTCTTTCTAACTACTATAAGGCTTGAAAATAAAAGAAAAAATGTATAACCCTAAGTTCAAAAAGCGACCTTGTAAGCAGTGGCAGTGAACTGTGCCATTCAGCAGGTTTTATTTATTATTTGTATTAATTCTGATTTTTGGTAGCTCACTGCAAAGAGTACATTAAGAAAATGCAAGTCCTTGAATCAACTTTGGTGCCTCCCTCAGTTCACCCACTGCCTAAGCTTGGTGCTCTGGGTCAATATCCAACTTTCTCTCCCCCTAAGGCCCGGCCTCATGGGGACACAGTGGAAGGGTCTGGATGAACTTCCGGGAGGTCAAAACCCATACCATCAGATGTCATCAGTTTGGCAGTACTGGGTATATTAGTGATGCTATTTTGTGTCAGCATGTGTTTGAATGTGATAAGGGAAGAGCCATTGGCTAAGACTTCGATGAGTTCAGAAATAAGGTATTGATGTTTTGCTGATAGAGGGGAAGATAAAAGACATTCTCTATCATTCAGAGCTCTTACATTTTGAATAGATCTGTCACTAAGAGTACAGCCTTAACCTGTTCCAGAGTTACAGTATGTGAAAGATGTACCTCTAAGCATCAAATTGCCATTTAAGAATCTCTGCAGGCATTATCTGTTTGTTGCACTCTGAGTCAAGGTGACTCAGTATGCAACAGATAACGCCTACAGAAATTTCTTAAGTTATGGCAGTTCACTGCTAAAAGTTACACCTTTTGTGTAACTGCACAACAAAATTTCAGCAAATGGATTGAAAGGGACAGAAGCAGAGTATCTCTTTTGACTTTAAAACCTAAATGCACTTACACTGCAAATTAAATGCAAATTACTCATAAGGGGAAAATACAGAATTCCACAGTACTTGATTTAAAACATGCAACCTTTGGGTTGTAAAATGCAAACTTAGGTAGCAACTTTTGCAGAAGAGTCTATTGTCACCCATACCTCCTAACAAAACGAAAATGTAATACTGACAGATCTTCGCCCTTGCATGCCTCTTCCCCAGCCCCTTTTAAATCCTTTCATCTGTGCAAGTATGACTGTCTTATTCTGAAAGCAGCACCTCCTTTTCTCCAGGGGAATGGATTGTGCTTGGCTCTTGCATGCCATCTTCCGATTTCAAAGTTTCAGTGCAACTTCCAAAAAAGCACCAGTGGCCTCAGCTGCTTTTGTCTCAAGCGACATCAAGAACAGTTCTGAATTTGCCCACATTTGCTTTTATTTCTGAGGTGCATGACTCCATATGAAACTTTTACCACTTTTATATTATATACAGGACCTATAAGTATCACTTCTCCCATTTCCTTGATGACAACACTGTTTTTGCTGAAGTCATAGCCGACATGATGTGAATAGCATTAGGAATGTTATTTCTTTTCCTTTCAGGATAGATTTTTTTAAATCAGAGTAATGGTGTACAATCATACAAGTTCATTCTACTATTGCAATGATAATATGTTTAGGATTCTCTTTGTTGGTCTGATTTAGTTCTGAGATGGGCAACTACTGTCCAGGCTGGCTAGGGCAGCTGGGCTTTTGAGTCCAGCAGTATTTCAAGGGCCACAGTCATGCCCCCCCCCCCGCTGCACTTCTAGTTGCGGCCAAAATGGAGTCTCTTCTCCATCAAGTAGGAACTGACTTACAGCAACTGTAACAGGATTTTCAAGGTAAGTGGGGTATCTAAGGAATGGTTTTTAACAGTTGCAGTCTTTCAGCAAATTTCCAAGCAGAAATTCAAAGCCACGTCTCCTGAGTCTGACTCTGTCATTCTACCCACTACACCCCACGGGATATCAATATGCTCTTTGCAAACCGAACTGTCCATACTAATGTGAAGAGAATACATATTTTCCCCCATACAAATAGCACACACAAATAAATTCCAGCCAGTAGCTAACAATCCCTTGTAAACGGCTTTATTCACTCTTTAAAGAGTCATGCAGTCATAAACATTTTCATGTATTGCATTGTTGCCATTGAGGTGTACACAAGTGTGTCTGGAGGGCTCCGTACCCCCAAGCAGTGGTATGTGCCCATCAGAACAGAGCCTAATGGGTGTCCTGAGTGGGGCTCAAACTGCTTCCCTGTTCAAATGGCCTGATTGACATTTATGGGCACCATTTTGTATCTGGCAATTCCTGGTTATGTAAAAACGAAAGCTCTGGGTATATGCAACTTGGCCTTTGCTGAAGAGTGAGAAAAAGGATACAAGAGGAAATAGATGTTTCATATGGCCTTGCTTAGATGTACTCAATAACCTATCAGGAAGGAACCGCACACATAACCTCAATTCCCACTCTACCACACTAGTATTGCCATGTTTTGAGAAATTCCTGGCAGTTTTTTAAAAAAATCCAAATATGTTTTTCTTAGGGGTGTTTAGAAGAACTAAGCAGAACACACATGTAGAGCCAAAGCCAATCCTGTTTTCTCGCCAGCACTTTCTCCAGTCCCTGGTCTTGTCTTAAACAATTTTCTATTTGGATGACATCTTACTGAAACACTCTACTTACTAAAAGTGCTGAGGTAACCTTGAGAAAACGCATGGATCCTGGAAGAGACTCTTTCCAGGAAAGATGGATGAGGAGAGCTTGAGTTACTAAAGCTCATGATGCAGCAAGGTTTTCTGGTGCTCACCAACTTCATTGAACTTTGTGAGGATTCCAACACAAAACAGTCATTTCGAGACTCCATGCCGGACACTCCTCAGTGCAATCATTGGCAAGTTGAGAGTTGCAATTCAAGATCTTGGTTTGTTTGTTTGCAGTTTATCAGGATGGTCAGAGTCAGTAATAGGAAGGCCAAGGCCATTTAATAGTTGTTTCACAACAGACAAGATACAATTTATGTATACAGGTACTTGTCTCTTTGTATCTTATAAACAAACAACAAAAATATGCTCCACCAGCTGACGGTGGTTGCAATAAAATAAATACACAAGGGAAGTGATGTGTCTTCCAAACCACTTTTCATTTTAAAACACTCTTTGTGTTCTCCAGCCCAACTTGGTGTCCAGGGCTATTGATAATCATTCTCCTCCTTTCCCCTTTTGAAGTCAAAACAGAGTGGGTAAGAGAATGGTAGTCTGAAGGAGACAATGCACACTGTTTTTGATTGACCACATACAGTAAGGAAGACCTGAGAAGACCAAAGTCTTTCCCCTTGAAGATGAGGGCCAGTTTATTCAGAGCAAGGCAAGGTGTGACCTACTCTCCTCCTCTGGAGGAACAGAGAGACCACACAAAAAGTCTTGGGAAGTCAATGTTGTGTTCCCAGTGAACACCTTTCTTGCAGAGATTTGGTTACCAATATGATACTCCTTTTTCTTATAAGCATGAGATAGAAATGAGGATCCAAGCTAAAATGAATTTCTTTACCGCCATCATTTCAAGACCTTGAAGCAATTCCTCACTGAATTAGCACTTTGTAGCATGGATATAGATTATTGCTCAGCTATAGTGTTGATTTTGTTCTACAGTAAAGTTGTACTAAAGACTGGAAATGCAGGGCACCCACAGGAGAATACAGCAAAGTCTTATTGCCAGACAGGCAAACAAAAAAGGGCAATCTAACACTAGAGAAAATCTAATATTGGACCAGGAGGATATTTGCTCCATGCCACAACAGATGCAGTTGGTCAAATACTATTTATCTTCATGGTTTCCGAAATCTACTAACAATCCAATATGGGCACAATTCAACTGGTTTTAGTGCAGGTATTTTCAAGGAGTGGGTTCCCAACAGAGAGTGCTTGTGATTCACAAGATAGCCAGGAAGTAGCCTGGGAGGGAAAGGAGATTGAAAAAGCAACACAGAAGATGATAACAGATACAGCCGTGGGTGCCAGCCCGAAACAGAATGCTGTTTACTGCAACTGGTTGTTAAAATGATTGGGAACCATGGCTTCAGCATAACTTCCATACATTCACCAAGGAAACTATCCTAAAAATGTGTTTCTAATGATGCCTTTAAGGGACTTTTCCCATATAAATGGAGTAGGCATTTTAAGCAATGCCATGCATGGGCAATCTATTCCATTAAAAAAAAAGACACTACCACCTTACAATCATAGGACACAGAAGTGTCCTGTAGCTTCTTTGTGTCCATTTTTCTAAGTCCAACTTCATGCATGGCTTCTCTTGCTTCTTGAGTCACAGTAGGATCCCAAATTGGTAGAAAGCAGGGTTGGGGTGTCTATGTGTGAATGTTCACATAAAGAATTGTCTTTGTTAAGTATCTGATAGGTGGGTGGCTACCTATCATCTCTCCCTCCCTCACACTAAGACAAAGCTGCTGGATATCTCTTATTTAAAAGGGAATATTCTTTGGCCCACTAGACCATGTCACCTTTATGGAGTATTGTGTTCTGTCCATAGGTGCTATGTCTCAAAACAGAGGGCAGCGCAGGTCTTCAGGAACTTTAGAGAAGAGACACTATCTTTTGAGCTGATCCTGGAACATTTTTCCTGGCAGTTTTGAAGGAAAAGGAATTCCAAGGTAAAGCCAGAATTTCTCTACTGCAGGCATTAGATGGTGTTAAACATGTATCTTCCACTCTCTCCGAATGGGGTATAGTAGCTGGGCTAATCCATTCAGTGGAAAGCATGAATCTGTCCAGTGCACATATCATACTGTTACAGATACATGATCTACATGCATCTCTTAAGAAGCATAGGTGGTGACACAGCATTGTGAAATGAGTATTTGGGCAATCATCATACACCATAAAGAAAAGATCTACAAAGGAAAAGGGAGTGCAGAGCTGAAGGAATAGAAGTTGATGGAGGCATCAGCCATCAAATCCAGCTCATGTCATTCCTCCACTCTTACTGTGCATTCGGTTTAACAATGAATACCAAATGGGGAACTGGGCCATTCATTAAGAATACGTGGAGTGAGTGTGTGTGTGTGTGTGTGTCTGTGTCTGTGTCTGTGTGTGTGTGTGTGTGTGTGAGATCGCCCACAGTAATTGGTGGGGTTTAACTGCAGCAGATTTGCTGCTATTTGCTTCTTTAGTGTTCCAGGGAAATGTGTTGTCGTGGTGCTTTTGTCTCCAAATCAGTGTGACATCATCGAGGGCACAAATGTCCCATCATGCATTGCATATCTTCATCATATTCCAGGTTGATGCTACTGCTGGAGTAGTGGCGTCTCAGCATCTGGCTGGGGTTCAGAGAATTGTCAGGGGATGGCTGTATACCTATAAGAAGAAAAGCAGCGAAGGATATAGTTGATAAGAGCTCCATAGGTTACAGAATCTAGAAAACCGATGCCAAAGGAGGAGAAAACAAATTATTCTGTACGTCCCAGCACTAAGATTCATTCTTCATAATGAAGTGCTAACAAATAATTTGCAATTTTTCCAGTATTTGTTTTAGGTTTCTGTTGAACTCTAATCTTGACATTTATGTACACCTGCAATCAAGTAAAACAGTTTTGTTCCCCATACTAAATTGTACCAGTGGAGCACTGCCATATTTCCTTCCACTACTTTTTTTTTTTTTTAAGAAAAGAAAGAAAGCACATTTAGGTTCTCCACAATCACAAAAAAGGGACATAAATACTGTACCTGTGACTGGCATTTTTGCTTGGCCCCCACAGATTACCCGGTTTACCTGTGGTGATCATTTATACAGTGTGAATATGGCAACTGTTACTGCTTCAAACAGGGGGGAAATTTCTCCAGGTACACAAAATACTTGGGTACAAATGTTTTCCAAATTTAAAAGAAATACTGTACATTGTATGGTGTCTTTAAATCTTTCAGACTCCATTGTAATTATATGTTGTAGTTGTGTACTTGCCTTGACCCAAATCCTTTGGTCAGATCAAGAGTTGTTGATTGAGGCCAAAAAGGAGCCTTAAGGTTTCTCAGTCTAGAAGCCCTTCAATAGTCTCCACCTGTCATCTAGATTCCAGCCAAGGAGCCCAAGAGCTTAACCACAACAATGCTGGCTAGGGCCACTGTTCTGCCATAGTGAACAGCTCAGAGGGCTGAACTATACCTGACCAATAACCTATTATTAGAAAGAGTAAATTTCTCAACTGTTGAAAGTGCATGATTGCCACAGAAAAAGCTTTTCTCACCTCCCACTCTTTGCAAAATAGCTTGTTTCATAGTCAGTTTTTTGGAGTTAAACAGGTTACATTTGCAAGTCTGATTTCTTAAACATGGAATGCCTGAACCAAGTCTATGGAACTAACAGGACGAGTGCTAATGATGGGTTCTCTGTAATGTATTGCTTGGACCTCAGAAGTATGATAATTTGGTAATTTTAACCAAGTACACCGTCCCTGTTATTTACCTACAATGTAAGTCATGGGTGAGAAATACCTTAAGTATTGCTGCCCCTACCACTGTGAAGTGGTAAATTGTGTTACTGACTTTAATGAAGTGAACTGAAAAGTAGCTATCTTGTTTGAGTTCAGTGGAAACCATGGTCATGAAATGCCACAGGGCATAAACTGGGTATTTCATTTAGTAGAGAAAGCAACTAAAGATGTCTTCCCTGTGCATTAACTGGATTTGGCCCAAAGACATTATATTTGCATTTAAGAAGCTAAAGACAGCTTCCCCGCCTCCAGCACAGTAATATGCTTAACAAGGCAATTAACTTCTTCAAAAGAGCTCCAGATCTCATGCATTTTTCAAGGATTTCATTAAGAAATCATGTGTGTGTTTGTGCACATGAGTGAGAAAGGAGGAGAACAAGAAAGGGATAAATAGCAAAACAGTTTTTTTTAACAATAAGCTCTGGTCAAGAGGTGCACTCTGCAAGAGTCTTCAAAGCAGGGAAACACACAGGCTCCAAATAAATAAAAACTAAGATAAAAAAGGCTCACATAAATAGAAGAGAGTGGGTAGGAAACTAAGCCTGGGGGAGCAGTGTATATAAGCAATTATGTTATAAACAATATAAGAACATAAGAGCCCTGCTGGATCAGGCCAAAGGTCCATCTAGTCCAGCTTCCTGTATCTCACAGAGGCCCCACCAGATGCCTCTGGGAGCACTTGAGACAACTAGAAACCTCTCTCCTGCATCTGGCATTTGGAGGCCCCTTCCTTTTAAGCCTGGAGATTTTACATCCCCATCATGGCTTGTAACCTGTGATGGACTTTTCCTCCAGGAATCTGTCCAATCTGTTTTTAAAGGCATCTAGGCCAGATGCCATCACCACATCCTGTGGCAAGGAGTTCCACAGACTAACAACACACTGGGTAAAGAAATATTTTCTTTTGTCTGTTCTCACTCTACCAACTTTCAATTTGAGTGGATGTCCCCTGGATCTAGTATTGCATGAGAGGGAAAAGAGTTTCCCTCTATCCACTTTATCCATCCTCTGCAGAATTTTATACATCTCAATCATGTCCCCCCTCAGGCACCTTTTCTCTAGACCGAAGAGCCCCAAATGCTGTAGCCTTTCCTCATGAGGGAGGTGCCCCAGCCCAGTCATCATTTTAGTCGCTCTCTTCTGCACCTTTTCCAGTTCCATGATGTCTTTTTTGAGGTGCGGTGATCAGAACTGTATGCAATACTCCAGGTGCGACCTTACCACCATTTTGTACAATGGCATTATAATGTTGGTTGTTTTATTTTCAATCCCCTTTTTTAAAGATACCTAGCTTGGAATAAGCTTTCTTGACTGCCACATCCCACCACAACATTTATGTAATTAATCCTAGCCCAGCCACAACAATTAATGTGCCATGTGATGGAAGGACATATTTTCCAATGTTTGAAATAGTAAGCTTTGGTCAGAAAAAAAGGAACTTTTTGGAAGGATGAGTTGTGATATTGTTATGGTCCTCTGGGTGATACTAATAGCTACATTTACTGTACTTTGGATGGTTCTGCATGTGGGGCTAGTTGAGAACATATTAAGAACATAAATGAAAAGCTCTGTTGCATGATATGAAAGACCCGCCTAGTCCAGCATCTTATCTTGTGCTCTGGTCAGCCAGATACAGTAGTTCTCTAAGACCTACATGTGAAACATGAGGGCAACAGGCTTCGCCCACTGTTTCCCCCCCCCCCAGGAGGTATTCAAAAGCAAGTCATCTCTGATTCTGAAGACTGCACACTGCCTGTCGCTCTACCTTAACTAAGGCGATAGATGGCACAACCATGTTGATACTAAAGTTTTTGTTACTAATACTATTCATTTATTTATTTATTTAGTGTTATTTGTTTATACTTCATGAAAGTCACAGAGCAGTTTACAAGTAAGAAAATGTAAAATTTAAATTGTTAACCCAAGATTGCTACTAAAACCTTAAATTTATAGTCCAGTCAGCAGCAAAACCACACATACCAGTGACTATTGATAAAAACAGAAGACTCAGGAATCTCTCAGGCAAGTGCCAAGAGGATGCAGAAACCTGAATGAAGAGGTATGTCTTAAATAACTGGTGAAACTCTGTTCCTGAAGATGCAGGGTATACCTCCAGAACTGTTGGTATCAGGCGCCATCAAGTCACCTCCAAATTATAGCGACTCTACGAATCAGCACTCTCCAAAATGTCCTGTCCTCAACTACCCTGCTGAGCTCTTGCAGACTCAAGCCTCTGATTTCATTTAGGGAATCAATCTACAGTCTCTCGTATCTTATATTTGGTCTATCTCTTTTCCTGCTGCCTTCCGTTTTTCCCAGCGTTATTATCTTTTCCAGAGAATCCTGTAAGGGGACAAGAAGGCTCTTTCCTAAGTCACTACTCCTTGGGCATCACCCATAAAATGGGACCATGAGAAGTGGAAACATGTCAAAGACCAGACTGCTTCATAACAGGAGAGGCCCTCGACTGATTGATTGATTTTATTTTATTTATATACTGCCCATCTGGCAGCCAGGGCCACTCTAGCAAGAACTTATGTCATAAGCCATTTAGGACCTTATGAATCCCACATTGACTGTTAAATAAGAAGTAAGTACAACTCAGAGAGAACAGTTGTGATATATCCTTGGCTTTGCTCACCATTCAGCAACCAATCAGCAGCATTCTATACCAACAGAACCCTCCCAGCTGTCTTAAAAGGCTGTCCCAGGTAAGAGTATATTGCAGTAACCAAAATATAAGGGTACTAAGAGCTAGATCAACACAGCCTAGCTTCCTTGGTCAAAGAAGGCCTATAGCTGGAACTAGGTTTTAGTCATTGGGATCACTTATTTGATCTGTTATGTCAGATTTCACCTATGTTGTTTTTTTCCCCTCTGCTACATTTTCCATTATATTTTAACTATTTGATTTGATAATTATTTAATTTCAGAAAATAAACTATTGACTGGCATGAAACTGAAGTTGCAGAAAGGTGGTTCTTATATTACATTCTGCATACAGGAATGTCTGCACTATAGTTTGCTTGTGAGTTCCATATTACATTGGCTTTGGGAAGCAAGAAACTGTAACTCAAGAATCAAGGTAGCTTTTGATTCCCATTGCAATCTTCTCTACCTCCCTTCTTATTCCAGAAGCCCAAACTGTCCACTGCATAGTATCTATGGATGGCATCTCCTACTTCCTTTCTTTTATCTCTGGGGCAATCTTCAATAGTTACCTATTAATTTGCCATTTTTAATTTTTTTAAAAAACTTTACCAATAAAGCTGCACTTTTGGGAAAGCTCTAATCTTATCTCTATCAATCCTTGAATATCCCACATGGACAGTCTACTACTTTGGCTAAACAATGTGACATTACTCACACAGTGCACCTTTGCATGTGTTAAATTCTGAGCCAGATGTACTGGGCAGACAGCAGTAAATCATCTGACAGAACAATGTTCAGATTAACAGGAAAAAATTTTCTGAGTGCATTTGAGCTAAGCCACCCCCAATCTGGAAAAGCCTCTTCTCTGAACATATGAGGAAATACACATAATTCGGGAAAACATGGCATCAAAGAAGTGGCCAGAAAGTTACAATCAGTCACTACAATTCAGGGGATCCCAGACATAGACACAGACACAATATATCCTGATCACAATAGTCTTGCTTTTCCTGAGTTATACATAAAGATTGCCCTTCTGTAGGTTTGCTTCTACACAAGGGGTGAAAAGAATTACTAGAGACTGTCAGCACTTCATGGGCAAGAAGAAAAGGTTATTTTTTTATCTACAAAAAACACGAGCCACTATATACATGAGACAAATCACAGCAGTGATCTCAGGTCACTAGGATACTGTGTTCCTAAGAGGGCTTTAAA